CAGATGAGTTGCGTGAGGATGTCAACTGTATCATCCAGGAAGAGTGCAAACAGTCATTACAAAGACAGAAGAGGAAGAAAAGACCAAAATGGATGTCAGAAGAAACTCTGAAGATTGCACTCACTGGAGCATAGAGAAGCCAAAGCACAGGGAAGAATTCAATATACTAAAGAGTTGAACAGAAGATTCCAAAAGGCAGCAAGGAATGACAAAGCAAAATATTACAATGAAATGTGTGAGGAGCTAGAATCGGAAAATCAAAGGGCCGAACTTTTTCAGCATTTCTTAAGCTCAAGGAACTGAAGAACAAATTCAAACCTAGAGTTGCATAATCAAGGATGCTTTGGGCAGAATATTAAATGATCCAGGAGGTATTAAAAGACGATGGAAGGAATATACTGAATCATTGTATCGAAAGGAATTGGCAGATACAGAAGAATTTAGTGAAATAACATTTGAGCAAGAGCCTACAGTGATGAAGGAAGAAATTCAAGCTGCTTTGAAGGAAATAGCAAAAAGTAAGACCCCAGTAATAGATGGTATACCTATTGACATATTTCAGCTAACAGATGCTGCCCTGGATGTGCTCACCAAATTGTGCCAAGAAATCTGGAGAACAACCACTTGGCCAACTGACTGGAAGAGATCTATATTAGTTCCCATTCCAAAGAAGGGTGACCCAACTGAGTGCGGACCTACAGAGCAATATCATTGATTTCACATGCAAACAAGATTCTACTGAAGATTATCCAAAAACGACTGGAACAGTACATCAGCAGAGTACTGCCAGAAGTCCAGGCTGGGTTTAGAAAGGGTTGTGGTACTAAGGATATTGTAGTTGATGTTAGATGGATCTTAGCTGAAATCAGGGAATACCAGAAGAATGTCTATCTGTGTTTCATTGACTATGCAAAGGCGTTTGACTGTGTGGATCATTACAAACTGTGGCTGACTCTGAGAAGAATGGGAATCCCAGAATATTTAATCGTGCTAATGTAAAACCTATACTTGGACCAAGAGGCAGTCGTCAGAACAGAGCAGGGTAACACTGCATAGTTCAAAACTGGGAAGGGTGTACGCCAGGGATGTGTCCTATCTCCATATCTTTTCAACATGTATGCAGAGCAGATTATCCCAGAGGCTGGGCTCTATGAGGAGAAGTGTGGTGTCAGTATTGGTGGAAGAAGTATTAACAATCTGCATTATGCAGATGACACAACCCTGCTTGCTGAAACTGAGGAGGACCTCATGCACTTGTTGCAGAGGGTCAAGAACTGCAGCGTTCAGTATGTATTGAGGCTCAATGTCAAGAAGACAAAGATTCTCACCAGTGGACCAAATGGTAGCATCAGGATGGATGGTGAAGAGATTGAGATTGTTCACAGCTTCAGTTTGCTTGGCTCCATGGTCAACATTCTTGGCACTAGCAGCCAGGAAATCAAAAAACATATTGCGATGGGAAAGTCTGCTGTTAGGGACCTCTC